CACACTATGAAAGCGACTCGTGTCGTCCGAACACATGGACACGAGTTGCTTTCATAGTGTGCCACTTCGTGGCCAACCGCCAACTTCGGTTACACTCGGCTTTCCTCGACATCCCAAACACACGGACATGGAAAACTTTCATTGTGTGCAATCCCAGTGGCACAGGGAGAGGGTAAGATTTACCCACGATCTGACAGCACTGTATCATAGGCCTATAAACAACTCAACGCTACGTTAGATCGGTGTACTGATTTGCAACTGATGTCACGTGACATTATAACGATATCTACATTATCGATAATTTGCAGTATGTATCATCATTCTGTCATTGCTACAGCAGTCTACAGAGTGGAAGTACTATAATAATAAGCAACAAAAAAAATTAAAAAACGAAAAGTCTAACAAGGTTATAAGATCAAAATGGTTAATAAAAAGGTTAAATTTTTCTATCAATATTTTAATAGTATATTTATTTAATTAAATTTATATTGCGTTATATATATATATATATATATATATATATTACTATTTAAAAAATAAAATTAATAAACAATATGTGTATAACAGAAACAAAAATTATTGTATTAGGAATTACTGGTATTTGTAATCAATGTGGGAGTATCGTCAAAAGATTCTCAATCAAATCCTGTTTTTTTGGATAAAACAAAGAAGATTGTACAACATTTGATGGAAAAAAAGGTAGGCAAATGTAATCATTAAATGTTATTTTAATATTGTCATTATAATTTATAATTGAAATAAAAATAATTCTATATATATTTACAGATATTTTATCGGCCAAAAGATGAAATTGGCTTGTTATTATATGGTTCGACTACCACATTAAACGAAAACAATTTCAACAATGTAGAAGAAATTCAAAATGACTCACAATGCGTTATACAAATGCCGAATTGGGACTTGATTCAGTTTGTTTCCAATTTACAACTTACAGATTGTGTATCAAATTGGATAGAAGCTCTTTATGCTGCTATTGATTTAATTAAGCGTGAATCTGTGTAAGTATAATTACATACATGCATAAAATAGAATATGTATATACAGAACGTATCAAAATAAGTGCACTCTTTCAGGGGTGGTTTCAATATGCTATCATTCAAAAATAAGATTATATCAGGTACATGATTGTATGAATTATTTATTTTTATTTTAATATATCAAAATCATCCCTTGAAATTATGTTCACGTATTTTGAAACACTTTTATATATATTTATAATATTACTTATTTTTATTTTCTTTTGCAGAGATGATTGTAACAAGTTGATAGTTTTGTTTTCTGATTTTAAGGAAGTACCTGATGACATTCCATTTGATGAAAAAGAAATAATATCAAAATTAAAAGATCAAAAAATTAAACTAATAGCTATGTATAGTATTTGCATTTATTTATCATCATACATTTTTCGTACCTTAACACTACATATTATTTCTTATATTATTTTAGTGGCTTAGAATTATTGCATAATATAACTAAAGATACCATTACGTCGAGTGAAAAGCTTATTATTGATATTTGCAAACAAGTATTATATTTTATTATAAATATATATAGAGAGATGTAAAATAGAATTATAACACTTACTTGTACATTTTTATTATGCAGACTAATGGGATATATAGAACGATTAATGAAGCATTCAATGATACAAGATTTATTAAAAAGGCGCAGTCTAGACTTATAGGATGGTCATGCGACTTAGAATTACTTGATATTAAAATACCAATTAAATCATACGTCAAGGTAATTTAAACGATAATAATAATTGTGAACTAGAAAATTGATTATTACCAATTTCATGTTTACCTAACACAAAGACAGTTATTAAAATTCCATAATAACTTTTTTCGATGCGTTAATAAATTGATTTTAGGTAACAAAGGAAGCAAGATTTCCATTGTGGGAATTGGTAACTGATAAAACATCAGAAAGTAAGACGATAGAGCCAAATGAACCTGTACAAGCAGAACGTGTTAGAGAACACCATGGTAGACATAGGGATATTCATAATGCGGAAAATACAATACGTGGTTATAATTATGGTGGTCGTTTTATACCATTTTCAAGTAAATAATTTTATCTATTTATTATATGTGCATTAGAAATTTGGCTTGTTATATATATTTTATAATGAAAATATTTATTTTATATAACAGAGGAAGATGAAGAGACTATGATGTATAAAAGTGGGCCTAAGAGTTATAAATTTATATGTTTTACAAAGAAAAAACGCGTCGGTATGCAATATTGGAGCAGCAGTACCAGTAATCGTATAGTCATACCTGCTAATAAGGTATTATTACATGAAAGGAGACATTATCATCAAATTAAAATATAAAATATTTATTAATTTTTTATTCCAATGAATAATATTGCAAGAATAAGTTTGTTTAATGATGTAAAACATTTTATTCACTCCAGAGCGCAACACCAAAATTTTATAGTTTAATGGAAGCTATGAATAAAAACGATTTTGTTGCTATTGTCAGAAAAGTATATCGGATGAACTCAAATCCAAATATAGTGGCACTTTTTCCACGCATGAATATTCCAAATGAGCCCTGGGTAAAAATATTATTTTATTTATTCTACTTTGTAATTTTATTCTTTGTATATTAATTTATTATACTTAACTTCACTCTAGTGTTTTGTAGAGATCATCCTACCATATGCAGAAAATACAAGAGTAATAGAATCCAAACCTTTAACATCTTTTGTCAAAAAGTTATCGAAAGAACAAAACGACATTGTGGATAATTTGTTGGATGCTTTTATGTCGAATGATATAAGGTAGATCATATTTGTGGAATACATTTTGTTAATTATTGTTAACAATTTTTTTTAATTTTTTTTAATTTACCTACTTAGATTATTTTTACTTCTTCTTCTTCTTCTTCTTCTCTCTTCCAAGTAGGCACAATGCCTGTTCTTCATCACGATGCGCTTCATATAGTCAGACTGTCGCTCCAGCGCTTTCGAAGTCTTCCAACGCTCTATCTCCTTGATGGTGACTTATCTCGGGATATTTTTACCACTCGGTCATCAGTCATGCGAGTGATGTGGTCATTCCACTCAACTTTTCTACTTAATACCCAGTCGTTGATGTTCTCGATCTGGCATGCTTTCCTAAGGCCTTCGCTTCTTACTCTGTCCCATAGTGATTTCCCAGCTATTCTGCGAACTATCTTCATTTCAGTTGCTTCCATAATTTGGCGTATTTTAGATGTTTCAGGTCTTGTTTCTGCAGCATATGTTAGTATAGGCCTTATAGCGGTTTTGTATATACGCGCTTTTGCATCTATTCTTAGGTGCTTGTTTCGGAATATGGTGTCGTTTAATAATGAGGCTTTTCTTGCTGCCTTAATGGCTTGTCCTCTTACTTCTGATTCTATGTCACCGAAGCTCGAAATTTTTATGCCTAGGTAGTTGAATTCCATCACTTGTTGTATTAATTTGTCATCGACAACCAATTTACATCTTAGGGGTGTTTTAGATGTAGTCATGCACTTAATCTTGGATGTTGATATAGACATCCCGAGTGTCTTGGCAATTATGTTGAACGTATACAGGAGCCTTTGCAGGTCATCCTCATTTTCCGCTATCAGGACTGCATCATCGGCGTAACACGAGATTTTTATCTCACGGTTCCCCATTTGATATCCTCTTTGTTCGCGCACCTTCTTTATGATTTCATCCATTATAATATTAAAAAGTAGGGGGCTCAGTGAGTCACCCTATCGAATACCTCTTTCCACCATTATGGGTTCTGTGAGTTCGTCGTTTATCTTTGCCTGTATTCGATTATTCCGATAGATGTTTTCGATAATTTTGATTATGTTACTCGGTATTTGTCTGTCATACAGAAGGTGCACTATATCCTCCAACCGTATTCGGTCGAACGCCTTTTCTATATCTATAAAACAGAAAAATGCTGGCTTATTGTATTCTATGGACTTTTCTGTTATTTGTCTGATTACAAACGCTGAATCTGTGCATGATCGTCCAGTTCGGAAACCTTGTTGCTCATCAGCTAATGTGATTCGCTCGTTTATCAGGTTCGTTATGACTTTGGTTACTAATTTCAGGGTGGAGGACAGTAGATTTATTCCCCTGTAATTCGCGGGCACCTTCTTGTTGCCTTTCTTAAAGAGAAGGATCGTTGTACTTGTCCGTCACTCGTCGGGAATTTTTTGTTGTTCAAAAAAAAATTATTTTTACTTAATAGTTATATATTATTTTTATTTTTACTTAAATAGTTTTAAATAATTAATAGTGATTCTTCCACGAAAAAGAAAGAAAAACCATTTATGCCTGGATGCGTTCCGAGCCCAATGAGACAACATAAATTTAATATGCTGTCATATCGCGCATTAAATCCAGAAAAACCATTGCCATCTATTGATATTGAATTAAAAAAATTGTTGGAACCTTCCAAAAAAATAAAAGAAAGATTGATAGATCCTATCGAAAAAATCAAGAAATTGTTCGACTTGCCTGATCATACTACAGAGAAAATACAAACGTAAAATTATATATACTATTAAAGTCTTATTAATTTATGTTTAAATATATATCATACTTTCTATATTTTTTTTTAGATTTAAAGATCCTGATAATACACAATCACAACTACAGCCATCGGATACGTCAAAAAATAATAATTCTGCTGTAGACAATGAAAGTTTTGAAGAAATGATTGCACCTTCAGATGTATTAGATGTAGATATGGATCCATTGATAAATAGTATTTGAGAAGTATAATTTTTACTAATTGTACGCGCTTATGCGTGTGCGTGTAAGTGAATGAGAGTGAGTGTGTGTACGTTCAAAACGAAAAAATTAAAAAATAATATAAGATTTTTAAATGATAATAAAACGACCATTAGGTTATTGAAAACTGTTTAAATATTAATCAGATTGCTGATAATGAATAAAATATTTACAAAAGAACTTATGATTTGAAGAAGCCTGTTAAATAATTAAAAAACAATAATTTGTTAATAAAGATTTATTTTTTTAATAAACTTAGTAGCAAAAGTATTTACTGGCAAAAATATTATTATTAAAAGTGAAAAAGTCAATTAATGTTATGATTTTTCTATGTAATACTTGTTTCTTTTCATTTTTATTATTAATGTAATTCGGCATAAATGTTAATTTAAATTTTTATTAAAAAAATTTGATTTTTTTCATAGGTTGCTAGTTGGACAGCGCTAGTCGTTGTTTTCCAATTACTAACACAGAGGGTCTCTGCGTTACATTGTGAAACACTGCCAAACATTGCCAAACATCGTTAAATGGAACGTAGTTGTCTCCAAATAACTAGAGTGCAGTTTTATCGCTCTTAATATTTATTATGGAGGGTAGAAGTAAGGAATAACATCTCTGTATATGAAAAGTGTCCGTCGAAATCGAACCAATTGAGGTGGCGCCACATTAGCATCATGGTAAATTTTAAAGGAAGCGCCAAATATTATGAGAGTAGGATTGAGAAATACACAATTACAATACATTTACAATCGCTACATTCATACCATACCAAGTACGATAATTATCGTACGAATGGGATCACTGTTAATACAGTATCGCTTTTTGGTGTAATTGGAAAGCAATGAGTATACATTTCAATTTATTACGAATTCTACCTTATCGACCGATATTTAAACGTAAGAGTTTCAAATATTATGTATTTTATAAAACGTACGTAGGCGGCGTTTGCGGCAATTGCAGTAGAGTAAAATATGGGGGTATCTGTTATCTCTCTCTTATTCTCTTTCTGATTACGTAAATATTTTTTGTGAAACATAGCAGCGGAACGTCGGAACTTGACGGAAGGAGAGAAACGTGGAACGTGTATTAGAACATGTATCCGGTTTATTCCGTCTACTCCGTTTCCCAACGCTTTAATCTCGTCTATGTCAAAACTGTTATTAGCCTCGAATATATGAATGAACGCTGTGTTTACATGTAATCAAGATATTTAAACAATAAATTCACAAATAATGTTTGCGAATGTGTCATTTTTAATCATAACAGCCGGTATTTCGATTTTTAAACGGTAACAACGTATACCCATACATACAGTTAACAGTTTGAGAAATAGATCCTCTTTGAAGTATAAAGCGCAATGGCTACAGTTGAAGGGATTACAGTAGAGGATCTCAAAACGGAGATTGAAAGACTCTCAAGAGAATTAGATTTAGCATCAACTGAAAAGATACAATCTGCCCAATATGGTCTTGCATTACTTGAAGAAAAATCGGCTCTACAACAAAAGTGCAATGATCTCGAGGCCCTCTATGAAAACACGAAACATGAGTTAGAAATCGCACAAGAGGTTAATACACTTTGATTATGTATCACAATTTTCATTTTTAACTTATTTTATAATAATACTAATAAGTCTATACATTAATCGTTCCTACGATTATGTTTCAAATGTTATTTTTTTTAGTTAACATTTAATTTTAGTTTATATTTATATTAATTATTCTCATTTTCTTTTACTTCATGTAAAAAGATAAATGTACATTTTAAAATCTATCTTTATGTATAAATTGTATATTTGTAGGCCTTAACAAAAGTTCAAACAACTACTATATTGACTACAAAAAGTGGTATTGAACAAGAGGAGAGTCTTTTAAGTGAAAGTGCAGCTAGAGAAACATCTTTACAATTACAAATATTAGAACTTGAAAATGAAACTAAGCAGGTATTTGAAATGAAAATTCTTTTTATAGCAATGATTCGTTATTGTTTTGTTTATCTTATTTAATTAAAACAGGACTTTTTATGTACTCGGTCTATGACATTAAAATATTAATGATTCAGCATTCAATATTTTGGAAATGTAATTTTGTCAACAGTTACGTCATGAATTAGAACGAGTACAAGCTGAGCGCGATCACGCGCTTCAAGAAAGGGAAGAAATAGGTAAAGATCATTTACAAGCGGAAACGGAAAGAAAAACATTAAGAACGGAATTGCGCGAATGCAGATTTCGTGAAGCTAGATTACTTCAAGATTGTACAGAATTAGAAGATGAAAATATCTCGTTACAAAAACAAGTGTCTGGCCTGCGTTCCAGTCAAGTTGAATTTGAAGGTGCCAAACATGAGATTAGAAGATTAACCGAGGAAGTCGAAGTTTTTCATAGTCAAGTAGAAGAATTAATTACTTTAAGAAAGATTGCGGAGAAACAAATGGAAGAGGCATTAGAATCCTTACAAGCCGAACGTGAAGCTAAATATATGCTTAAAAAAGAATTAGATCAACGAATCAATAGCGAATCCATTTATAATCTCAGTAATCTTGCTCTTTCTATTAGAGGAATTACCGAAGATCAAACTATATGTAGTGATGGCGAAGATGATCCTCCCGCGTTACGCAGAATCGAAGCAGATTTGAAAACTCAAGAACCGGGAACTTCGGCAACCGATAAACAAGTCGATTTGTTCTCTGAAATTCATTTGAATGAATTAAAAAAATTAGAAAAACAATTGGAGCTTGCAGAATCTGAAAAAGTTCATCTAACCCAGAATTTACGGGAATCTCAATATGCCGTTGAAAAGAGCCAAGCAGAGTTAATGACGTTTATTGCACGTATTATGCAATTGACGGCACATGTGCAATCATTGCAACATCTTCATTCCAAATTACCTAGCAAAGAAAATGAAGAAGTTACAATGGAAAAATTAAATCAGGTAAATTTTTGTATAATATGTAATATTTAATGACAATGTAATAATATTATGAATATTTCAGGCTATTATGCAATATCATCAATGGAGTACGATGTCTGCCCGCGAAGTAGATCAACTGCAAAAAGATTTAAGCGAACTAGAGAATGGTTTGACGGTATCCGATGCGACGCAACAATTAAGAACAGAGTTAACAAATCTGAGAAATAAGGTATACATTCTCATAGATTATCTTCTGTCTTTTTCTAATAAAAGTTGTTGGTATTTTTAATGGAAGAAATTTATTTATATGGTTGAAGGCAATTTGCTGATATATAATGGTTTAATGTATTTTCTTCTTAAACGAAAAGCTATATTTTTGTAAAAGGCAAGAATATTAAGTGTCGCTCTAATGATGCTATCATTGAAAAAAAATAATTAAAACCTTGAATAGAAAATTATATGGCATTTCAGATCCCAGAATCAGAGAAGATGCTTCGAGAAAAGGTTGGAAAGTGTGCTCGTCTTGACGTATTTACCAATTATTTAATAACAACTTGTCTTTGGCTCCTCTAATTATCCATACATTTTGCTTTTCAGTGTTCTAACAGCCTATCGTGTATTGCTTCTTCAAATTTAATGAATCTTAACTCTATATGATACCAAAATTACTAGCTACAATTTTATACACTTTTATGATCTATGGATTCATTTTTAAAATTTGTATTTATACTGGAAATATTATTTTCATACGTGATTCCATGTATCACCATTTGTGTATATTATACAAATATAGCGTTCAAAGAAAGAAAAAAAAGAAAAAAAAAACAAACCGTACGGATCTTAATGGCTATGCACCGTGGCTTTGAAAAGAATGTGCTTAAAAATGAAATATCGAACGAATTATATCTTTCTTATTATGTATTTTCTATACGGCTAACGCGCGGCATGAGTCAGACTCATAAAGCCTGTTTTGCACGATTGCTCAAATACGAACTCCATATACTTTAACGTGCATTTTATCGGAAAATATTATGTTCTAGGCTGCTGATTACATGATTGTTACAAATGTGATCCTAGAACTGACTTTCCAAATTGACTTGAATTCATCCTTTCTTTACATATTCAGCAAATTTGCAATGCATAATAATTATTAAGGATTGTTATAGATATTAAATCATAATTTACTTATATATCATTTTTTTCTTTCAGCTTTTAGATACTGAACAAAGAAGCATGCAGCTCGAATCCGATGTTGGTATTCTCTCTAAACTTGCTATAGAAGCTGGTGGTTTTCTTGATTCGGCGCAAAATGATTTGCAAAATATTTCGGATGAATTGGTGCAGCTTTATCATCACGTTTGCGCCGTTAATGGTGAAATGCCTTCACGCGTTGTCCTCGATCATGAAAAAATTGTTCCTGAAAAAGAAGAGGAAGAAGGAAATGGTAAAATTGAATGGTGTAGAACTTTGTTCAAAACGGATATTAAAATTAAGGATCTAGAGAGTCTTAGCAAAGCGAAAGAAATCGCCAAACATATAGAAACTGCTATGGATCAAATAAAACATTTGAGAAGCGCGGTAGAACATACAATAGAATTATCTAAGATAAAGGGAGTCCAATCGAACATTTGTAATGTTTGTGAAGGTAAGTTTAATTATCTAAAAATATAAAAACTAATATACCTGTTAATATATTATATTAATAATAAATTTAATTTATTATTTATTTTTCTAGCATCTGTAAATGAAAATAAGGCTGAAGTGGCAGATTTGCAAGAACAAGTTATCAAATTAAAGGCGATGTTATCTGCCAAACGTGAACAAATAGCAACACTAAGAACAGTACTGAAGTCGAATAAAAATACGGCAGAAGTGGCATTAACTAATTTAAAGAGTAAATATGAAAATGAGAAAAGTATCGTTAACGAAACTATGCTGAAACTACGAAACGAACTTAGAATGTTAAAAGAAAATGCGGCTACATTTTCAAGTAAGTTATTATTTAATAAAATATGTGTTATATTTATATGAATTAGTTTGCCTGAATATTGTGATCAGTTTGACGTATTAGATGCTAGACAAAATCTTTAAAAAAAAAAGGGAATTATATAATATATACTAGATATATAGAATATATAATAGATATTATTTGATTATTTTAATTTTAAAAGTCAGAATATTTTTCGAGCAAATTTAGTAATATAACATTTTCTTCATTCTTTCTTACTAACATGCGCATGCCTATTAATGCATTAATTATAAATATGTTAAACATCAGAATTAATGTATACATTCTTATTTATATTAAGTTGCGCAACGATAGACTTTGCAACTGCTTTACTTGCATGCCGTCAGATTTGCACTTTTACTAGATAGAAGGGGTGAATCGTTATAATTTTAATTACAAAGCATGTTACTGAAAAAATGTGTGCTTCATTCATTTTCATTTATTTTTTTGTTAAATATATTAATCAAATTTTGTTTCAAGTACAGGGTATTTCGTTTACTTTTGATTTAAAAAATAATACATTCACATACTTGTTAAATTTATTATTACGTTTTATTTATTTTTTTTTTATATTAATAATGTTATATAACTAATTATTATTTGTTTGGTTAAACATTATTATTACATGTTACATCTTTACTTGTTTTCTTTTCATATATACTTCTTCCTCGCCTTTCTAATCTTGTACTCACCTCTATCTCGTGTTAAATCCTGCTAACAATAATTCTCAGGTTTACGTGCAATGTTTGCTGCACGTTGCGAAGAATATGTCACTCAAGTGGACGAATTGCAACGTCAGCTGACCATAGCAGAAGACGATAGGAAGACCTTGAATCAGCTTTTACGTTTGGCGGTGCAACAAAAGCTTGGTCTTACCATGAAGCTGGAGGAATTAGAAGTGGATAGAGAACTACGAAATACCAGAAGACATGCTACTGGTGCTAATGGACGAGGTAGAGCGCGATTATTGCAACAGACAAACCGTCCGCATTTAAGCAGAGATTTCTTTTAGAAAATGATGAAGATGTGGAGCAAGATATTTTGAGAAAATTACGAACATTCTGAACAACTTTGAAAATTTTGACTAGTTTTATTTACAAGTTTTTCTTAAAATAGTAAAAAAACAAAGCGAATTAAAACTTTTTGCAGTAAAGTTTTTAGTGAGTAAATAATTTACATCAAATTATAACTCATTAATATCTCTACTTATCAAAGATATATTCGTATAGTACGTATTAATTATATCATATTATTTCTTATTACTTTCTTAAAAACATTCTTGTTCCATGTCACGCGTAAGTATTTTTACATAGACGACCGTGGGCAGGAATTAATTATTAATGAAACTGGTGACGCCGTCCTCATTATGAGAATGAGTTTTAAATGCATTCAGACATGGAATGATAGAGACTTATTAAACATTTTTATGATGCTCTTTTCGTCTATCAATTTATCAGACTTTTGCCGTACATTATCTATATTTTTATTAATGAAATCTATACGAGGAACAGATGAAACATTCAATCATAATAAGGTGAGAATTTTAAATGACTAGTCCACAAGATGCGTGGAGGCTTATAGATTTTATCTCTTATGCTTGAAATATTTTTTAAAGAAACTTATTTGTCAATTTAAACGTTATTTTATTTATATCATTGATTATATCTACCTAAAGTTAATTTTTATTTAAAAAAAAATGGAATTATGCCTTGATAATGAGTTCTGTCACCTGTGGGTCGTCAAAGTCATAGTTTTTGCATCCTTTGTGGACACGTAAATCGTATCGATCACATAAGTGAATGTATAAACTATACTTTATACTACACATGATTGCATCGCTTTCTACTTCATTAATAAACTTGCATTATGCAACATATATAATATTTCAGACGCAAAAATGATAGCATTGCATATCACAGAAAAACGGTGTTAACAAACACGCCATACAGTAGCGTCCATAATCAAAGTAGAACACAAAGTGATAGAGATATGTATATACGAAGAAGAAGAAGAAAAAAAACAGGAATAATGCTTAGGGATAAGCAAAAGTAATGTGAATTTAGAAAAATCTATTTACACATTTACTTTGCCTAATTGTTATCAATTTTTTCTTTTTTTTATCTAATAATTTAATTATTGTATTGTGGCATTTTTATTTTATTTTTTTGTTGTTTAAATATTGATAATCAATTATTGCACATTATTTAAAATCAATTTTTTAATCACAAATATTAATACGCCATCCAGTTATATGTATAACAGTGTTTTTATGCATGAACAATGTGTATATCAATATATACATTGTTAAATAATATAAACATATTTTACACATACTCTCCCTCTCTTTTTTTAGAAATTTTTATATTATATTACATTATATTATTTATAAATAGCTGCAGGTTTTATGAATATAAATTCTTGTCGAAGCATGTGTTATGATTGTTAAACTTACAAAAAAAAAGTAACTGTATTGTTTATCTATCTATTATTATGTCCTATAAAATGAGAGAGGAAAGAAAGAGAGAGAGAGAGAGAGAGTATAGAAAAAAGAAGATAATGTATATGTATACTGCATGCATATACAACACTTTAAGAAAATAGAATTTTTGAAAATTTATTTATTACGCTATTCTGTTTTTGTTTTATTGTACACTTGTTTATTCTATGCATTGTTTCTGATGCATCTACGATTTAGCAACAGTATTGGATGTTTTTTCAATGCAGGATGTTCAATTACAATTATATATATATACACACATCATAGAATATTTACAGACTTTATAAAATACTATAATATTTACAATCGTTTTTTGTTTACATAATGTAGTATTTAAAAAGAAAAAAAATACATAAATTAGAATAAGAGTGAATAATCATTGAATTATATGTGGAGTACGTGTATCTATTTTTCCATGTAATGGAACATTCTGCAAAGGTGTGCATGTGCGAAATTAGTAAATACAAGATTTTATGTAAAGTTTGTTATTATAGCTATTGCTATTAACTAATAATCGTCATTTTAATTATTATCACTGCAGCTATTATTAGTATTATTACTACTGCTATTTTATTATTGTTATTGTTATTAATACTATTATTGGTACTGGCAACTATTGCTATAATCGCTATTATGTTTTTATTTTTGTCGTTACGACTATTATAGCATTGTTTTAACGTTTTTCAAGTATTCGAGAAAATATTAACGCTATTTTAAGTAAATATTTCTATTCAAATTGTACATTATTAATCAGTACTATAACTTTATGATCATACTTTTAAACAATTTTAAATGCGTATCTAAACATATGCTAATAATTTATTTTCCAGTTATTTTATTAAATTTTCTTTTTTTTTTGCATATAAATATTAATCTCTGTATTTAATATATTCGTCAATCAGTGTGTCGACATTATTGTTATTTTACATTTTATTTACATTTTACTCTTTTATATTAATGAATAAAATGTACAAATCGATCATTTATTTATTTATTGCTTTGATTTTTTCTTTTATTTCTAATTTTTTTAATTTTATTAAAATAATCTTTTTTATTTTCAGTAACGTGTATAAAACGAATATTTTGCTTTTATCTTTTCCTAGTACATGAGTGAAAAAAATAGGCAGATTTGTTTGATCTAACAATTTTTCTTAAATATATCCAATACAGTTTGCTTAGAAAATATATTGAATGGTAGAAAAATGTATAAAAAATATTACGGTAAATTGCAAAATTGTTTAACATTTTTGTTGTTTTTTTTTTATATGTAGTGCAATAATAGATGCAAGTTAAATTCATTTATATCCACAAACCGAGCCAACCTGACACCACCGTCCCCTTTCTTCCTTTCGCGCTATCGTCAGGAACAAAAACCAGAGAGATATTTTTTTTCTTATTAAAAATTATATACCTAATCGTTCAGTATCAACATACTCTGATGATAATAATACACACTACGTGTATATTATACTGGTCCTCGATTTCTTCTTATGCCGTCCGTGTAGCTTGATACGGCTGGACCTATTTTGAAATAATAATAAATAATCAGATTTATAATCACGACAATGATCATGCGTGCCTACAAAATATTAAAATTATTCAGTTTGTTGTAATGGTATATAATTTGTATGCAATTAATGATAAGAACTTTATATTAATATGACTTTTAATAATATAAATAAAATAAACCCTCTTGCGGTTTCTTATCTAAAGTAAAGAAATGCGAAGAATATGTCAAGATTTTGCGTTCTGAATATCCTAACGATGATTACACGAACGCGTGCGCTTTAGATGATACTTTAAATATATTTAATTATTGAAATTGCAGCTATATGTTTATCTAATATTACTAATATTCTATGTATAAATAGTTATTCTATTAAATTTACAGTTTAAGAAATGATAATGATTATAATTATACAATTTTATTATGTCTTATGTTATCTTCATCGGCATTTATCATCAAGCGACCTTTCAGTTAGAAAATATGCCAATTTTGTGTATAAAATAATAAATGAATAAACATACTTATACAACTACACACATACACTTACACATCATGCAATAACACTCACACACACATAGCTTTTGTGCCTCACGCACCTAAGCATGTATCGATGTTAAAATCTAGTTGAAATAGCATTATTATGTGCTTAACTTTTGTATATATAAATTGATTGAGGAACGAGGGACCTAAGACAATATGTAGTGCACATAATTTCCATTCAAGCGATATCATAATTTTGAATGGAAAAAGTAATTGTCAAAAATTGAGAAACTCTTACAAACTCATAATCTAAAAAAACTCTTATTGCGTCCCATAAAATGGTAAATTTCCTGACGATGGTGCGTAACAATTAAATTGAAATTTGTAATGTTAGATATATAAGGGAAAAAAAACACACGTATGTTGAATAAATTAGCGTAATAATATTAATTTTTAAGGATATTGAAACAATTTATACGGTTTCGATTATTTGCCACTAATAACATAAAAAAAAAATAAACAAGAACAAAAATAGTATTTAGTATTTCCAATGATACATGTATCCATATAAAATTTAATTATATATTATATTAGCACAATAACTGATAATAATGATAAATATTCTTTATAAATGTTTTTTTATAAAAGAAATTCTTTATAAATATTTATCATTATTGTTAATTATTGAATTAAATTAATGACCTAAACTATGACTGTACCAAATCTTTGTTCTCTTTTCTATCTTTTATCTGTGTTTGATATACAATTTTCTATATTAAAAAGAAAAAAAAGAAAGAGCTTTATTCTTGAAAAAATGCCATTAAAATTCTAAAAGATAAATGCTTTCGTTTTGATTGACTTGATGATTGCAGTTAGTCAGCGTTCATTAATATATTATGAAAAACCAAAAAAGGGCAAATAGGTATGAATTTAAATTAATGATCGCGTTCCTTTTTCAAATATAATTAAATCGATTAATGTTTTAACTTAGAAGAATAGAAGATCTCTTTTTTCTAATTAATTACTGAATAATGTAGATGTAAATGAATCTTAAACAACATTTGTGGAAGGAACGTAGATTTTTATGTTTATTTATTAGTGTATGAGTAAAAACCACGTAAAGTGATATTGAGTCAAAAGAAATTGTTGTTGCTGTTGATGTTAAATTAAACCCGTTTACAGAAGAAAAAACCAAAAAATATATACATATATGTTTTGTTATAAATTATATATATTTTTTCATACTTCTTATTTTTTCTAATACTTTTTCAATTAAGTCAGCCTTTTTTGCTTGCCTGTTATGTGGAATCGAGTGTTTATACAACCAATCGCTTAAAATAACATTGGATACTTCACCTAACTTGTTATTTTTTGCTAAAGTTTCAACATCAATGTTTTTACCCTGAAAATAAAAACTTCGATTAAATTATATTATAAACACTTAAGTCCATTAAATAGAATTTCTAAAATATACTCACAAATTTGGTAGTACACATCGCGTTAAATAATTTTTGTTTTAATGTTGTTTTAGCGAATGTATTATCTTTCATTTGAGATTGCTCGAATGGAAAATATTTTTATTATAAATTATTTTTTTCTTAATTAAAAATATTGGATTAATTATAATTGATAAAGATTATAATAATTAAAGTAATTACTTTATAAAGCATATTTTGATCCAACAATAAGTTTATTTCCTTAAAAAATGAGGAAGTATTTTCATTAACTACTTGCACTTTGTTCTCATCATTTAGAGTCTTTGTTTTCTTCATAGGAGCACTCAAAGAAGGTTGACTTATTTGTTTATTTTTATTAAAATTCATGGATTGTTCAGATCTTTCCAAATAATTTAGATAATTTTCTCTGTCATTTAATTTCTTAACACTTAACGGAGTCGTGGTTCTGCTAGATCTGTCTAGATTAATAATATAAAATAGCAACATTAATATTAGATGAATATTAGATATGACAGTAAGAGGTTTTAATACAAAATATTTCAATTAACTGAAATTTATAGGAATACCATATTCGTATCTAATCGTAGGCCCTAATTGTTGGTTACAATTTTTATCAATCATATCCACATTTTCATTTGAAATATTCACTTTACTTGTATCCAACTAAATAATCACAAAAACATGTTAAATTATTTAAGTAATATAGTAAGTATAAAGTTGACTTGTTTAATTCTAAGTACCTCGTCTGATAATTTCAATGGATGATTTATTTCTTTGTTACTATTGTATATATACAACTGTTTGTCACATACTTTGTTCAATGTATTACATAGATCATGAATAAATTGTGAAATGATATTATTTCCATCTTTGCAAGGGATATATTGAAAAGGTCCTTTTACCACGCATATACTGGGATATATAAAATTATCGCCTCTAGATGCATGGAATTTTACTTCGTAATATATTATACCTTCTTCTGTTTCGGGTAAATAATAGCCATTCTAAAAATACAAATATTATTTAAATATGATATTCATAATATTATAAATAGTAATTTACTTTTATAAAAGTAAATAATAATAACGATACACAGAAATCATATAAATACCATATCTATCCAATATTTACGTAGCTCATTATAATTTACAAAAGGACAATTAGAAGGAATTTTTTTAGATACGGATACCAGTCTCACTGTTTTCATACTAATTAAAAATAGTATTAATTATATTTACAAAAATATATATATATATATATATATTAATGATATAAATAAATGAATACCTAGGCAATATATAAACCGATTTGCAATATTTCTTTAAATCGATAATACCATTATCATTCGCTTGAAATTCTGTTATCAATGAATCTAACAAACCTAAGTCTTTCAATTGTATATATGGTATTTTAATCTTTATCGGATAAAAGTGTAATCGTGTATTTTCATCTGAAATTTTGTATCCTTTATATGTACAATTAATCATATATTAAAACTTTATAATAATAATAATATTTGGTGGAGTACCATTTATAATAATTTTTAGTTTTAACGCATTAAATTCTTCCATTAATACATGAAATTTCATTTTGTTAACATAATATTGCCCAACTTTATTCCATAATGGTACAATTTTACATTGTATAGTGTAATTGAGACATTTTGTGTATACGTCTATCGAAACTGCTTGTGGTTCTGCATACTTACAAAAATAAGTTAATTAAAAATATTATTATATATGAAAATAATATATAATTAAATGTATAGAAAATTTACTAAAATATCCAAATTTTTTAAATGTGTTTTCAATTTATCGCTCTCAAGAAATTCTTTTGAGGCGATGATATATATTAAACCAGTTGTTCCAAACATTGGCGATACAATTACTTCTTTAAGAATTTGAATTATTATTCTAAAATATAAAAGTTTACATAGATGGATTAAATGATTTTAAATATAATAATTGTACCACTTATTATGAAAATGGTGTAAGCTCATTTTTATAATTTAATCAAATATGATTAATTTTACCGGCATTTTAAAATTTGCCAATGATAGTTAGATTTAATCGAAAAATTCTGAATTTTTTCAATATCAATTTCACAAATAATACAACGCAATTCATTTTTATGTGGAATCGATGCGATGTATTCTTGATTAGAATTCTCCATTTTTTACGTATCAAAATAAATTATTTTATCAAATAAAATTCCTTATTTTGATTTTGAAATACTTGACAATGTTCTATATGTGCTCTATACTTTGTATGTTCCGCCTAAAATAAGATAATGAACTACTACACGAGTCATATCAGCTACTAGTAAAATAAAATAAAATAATTTCTTGAATAATAATATTTTAGAATAACATTCTATAATAATATTCTATAATAATTCAAATGACTAAAATGAATAATTAACTCTACGATCGTGTATATCATGTGTAAAGATTTAAATAATTTGGCGGGAAATAGAAATCGAATTTTAGATTTTGAAAACAATGAAATTTTGCTAACATAGTTTATTTTAATATAAACTATTGTTACAGTTTGTTTGCTAATTAAATAAACGCTTTATTAAAATAAGTGATAATACAGAAATACAACACGTGGTAAGAGAATGAATAATAATATACATAATAAACAACTACAGATAAATAAACATTCAAAATTACTAATTATTGCAAGAATAACTGATAACACAGATGTACAGCTAAAGATGAGTAATTAATTAAACAGAAAAAATTACTAATATCAGTATTATGTAGGTCAGTATTAACACAGTTCGCTATTATTCTCGATCGTCCCTTTTTCTTTCTTTTCTTTTTACCTCCCTTCTTGTTTCTGTTTTGTTTTCTCACATAGCAACACTTTGCTGTCTTATCTCAAGCACGTGCAAAATATATATTTACATATAAAAAAATAATTTCGTTCGCAACACTATATAGTATAAATTAGTGCTAATTTATTTTATTTTTATCTCAATGGCTGATTCATTTAATCAATCTTCTGATCTACTGAAATGGATTACTAAATTTCACATTGGTAAATTAAAATTTTTCTTTTTCTGTATGTTATATATAATTGTAAAATATTTATTTGCATATATATTTATACGTGAAATTAAATAAGATTTATTTTACATAGAAACGCTTTGTTAATAATATACAATTAGAAATATAATATACAAACAAATATTAATTAGAAAATTAAATTTTTTGTTATTTATATTTTGTTAGATGATAGCAAACTAGCCGCATTGTGCTTCAAAGAAACTTTGTTAATTTGTCTCAAAGATAATATAATAACGCAGACAGAATCAATTGGAAATTGTAGCATTTCCATAGAAACTATCGGTCCTCTAAAACATGACTTCTTAATTAATACAAAATTCTGCATGAATATTGATGATTATTATTGTGGATCAAAAGTCATCTGTTCGGCAACAAATCAATTCAATTGTCTGGAAGAAAAAAGGACTGAGTTAGTTTATCTTTAATTCAACTATTATCGTGTTTCCTGTTTTATTATTATGATATAAAGAGAATTGATTTCCCAGGTACGTTTATTATAAAAATAGTTTAAATGAAAAAACATTATTTATGGGAATTCAAGGTGATAGTTATTACATAAAAACAACTCAAACGTATCAATGTAACAGAGTTAAGAATCATAAAAATTTAATATACTCGCAAAATGTAAAACTACTAAGTGAAGGGACAAATTTATTACTTATGAGATATCTTTCGATTATTAATTACAATGGAATTTTAACATTTGGAAACATAACGATTAATGGAAATATCGCTACATGCCAATATGTGAGAAATTATATACATTATTATATAAATATAATAGTTTTAGTTTTACATTGTTCATTTATATTTATTTACCTTTTTTATCCAATTTTCTTTACTAATTAAATATTAATTTTAATTTCCCAATTTAGAAGTGCACTCCTGCAGAATACATGAAATTATATAAGAATCATGTGAAAGCGTACACAATTGAACGTATAATAGAAAATGAAAATGGAAGTGTAGAAAATATGAAAACATATTTATCTCCAAAAGGAAAAATATTAGAACACAATTGGTCATCAACGTCTTACGTGCTAAAAAGCGAATCTTTAGAAAGTGTAAAGCAAATGAATAAAAAACTTAGAATAGCGATACGAAACGATTATTGGATGGAGGATATGGAAATGTTTTCTAAATATTTAGACGAAAAAGTATAAATTACATTTCCAATGTATATTAGATAATTGATTATTATACAAATATGTATAATGATTGGACGTTATTTTACAGCGTAATGAAGTAACAAAATTCATTGAGTATTTAACTGATCACGTTGAAGTAAAACATTTAATAGCCGACTATACACAAACTTTGTTAATAGGTAAGCTAACTTATGTATTAATAATTTAATTTATCCATGGTAATATCAAGAATAATTCAGTCTATACAAGAATATATATATATAAAATACAATAAAATCTTTATATTATTCGATATAGAATGTATTTTTACATTAATTAATTATTATTATTTATATTATACAATTATACAAAGAGATTTATTGATATACTTATCTCATGCCTCTCGATAAATAGTTTTTATTATTTTTGCAGTAAAACCTCTCCACGTGGTAGATTTTACGATACAATATTTTAAGGCATTTTCCATATGTCCAGAAATTCAGGATTTTATTTCAACGGATGAAATTTCAAAGATCGCTATACCTATACAACAAATGGAATATAGGCGTGCAAATATGTGCGATTTTGATCATTTGTGCATGACATGTAGGATGGTTGATCAAGTATTTTTTTCTTATTATTAAATGTACTTTTAAAATGGTAAAAAAATATGCAATAATTATTTTCATTACGTATTTACAGCAAGATCAATTGTTCGATGAATCAATATATTCTGATTGTTGGACTGATTCACTGTGCTCAAATGATATATCTTATATCAGAAAGAAAAGTAATGACAGTAACACATCCGTATTGAATCTTGATATTTCAACAGAGAATTCAAATGAAAATAATAAAGTATAAAAATGACTAAATCTAATTTTTAAAATTCATAAAATTATTTTCGAATACGTGAAATGAAATCTACGTTGTAATTTATCTTTCTCGTCTTACATTAGTTTATATAAATTAAGAAATATATTATTTTTTTATTTATCATATTAATTAATAAAAAGGGAATTATATATACTTCATTGGTATGATGATTATGATTTACAAATTAATTTGCAATAAACCAAATGTTTTAAAATTACGTAAAGCAATTAAATCAAATAAATATAAAAAATGATAGTAATAAGCAAGAAAATGAATGTATTATTTAAACAAACTAACATCTCCCTAAGCTGTGTGAGTGTATCTTGCTTATACCAATCCATAATTTAAACAATATACAATGTTGTTTGTAAGATCTTACCTGTATCATTTCCTACCTGGTGATGTTTCTTTTTGTGAATTACAAATTACACAATTTTCCTAAAATAATGAATAACAATAAAGATATTATGTTATTTTTAAAAAGAGATATTAACCGTTTGAATCCCACAAGTAGCACGAACAACAAAGCTGTACAGATTTTTTGTTAAAAATACATTTGTTTAAATAAAGAATTATATAAATTCCCACAGTAAATTTAACAAATGTTTCTAAAGACTAATGGGACTCAAACGGTTAACGTTAATATTTAACAATGTTACATACTACTAATTTGAAGTTTGGTAAACAGTCTTCGTGGAATGAATGCTTGCAATAAAATATTACTAAATTTTTGGATTCTGCAAAAAATATTCCGATCAGACCATTAAAACTTTTCGCGTTTTAGTTACCTGTACGTGTTCGGGTTATGCTTACAATTATAACAAATATATTTCTAATTACTTTAAAGAAAATATATTTATTGTTCGTACCTCCCATAATAATCTTTCTATGGCACGCTCCGCACAATTGATCATCTAAATGAAGAATATATGATTTAAAAATAAAGATTGATTAAAGCTTAATAATAATAATACCAAATACAAATATTTTTTATAAAAATGTATGATTTATCGACCAAAGTACATACCGTTTATAAGTATACCTTTCTGATGACAACGAACCAATCTCTCGTGAAGATTAAAATAATCATTAGATAAAATTTTCTTGCATCCTTCTTGTATAGACACTTGTAGATTATAATCACACATCATTTTAACTAAAGCTTTTTTTAATCCAGGTATTTCTAATGATGGATTTATTCTCTGTACCATTAGTCTAGGATCAACATACGTTCCAATGTTTTGTAGAAGAAATGTAATAGCCTCTAAAAGATAAGAAAGTCTACATAATGTTAAATAAACTTGAGAAAATGTATTCATCTAGGATATATCGCAAGTTATTATTTACTTGGTTTGTCCAATGAATAATTAACTAAATCATTCCATAATTCTTCATCGTCGTGCTCTTGACAAAAAGCAATAGCACTTTCCATATCATCTAATTCTCTAGTCATAAGAGCCAAAGCTTCGGATATATTTCCTATTCTTCCTAAAAGATATACCATCTCTGGATAAAACTTTCGTTGACTACAAATATCTAATGCTTCTTGTATTAAATAATTATCGGAACGACGTAAAAGTGGAAGTAGTTTATCTCTGGAGTATTCCGCATAAAGTTGTACCAATAATCCGTGATATTTCCCTTTGGAATCTTTTGTGTCTATTTTATCTAAAGCGTCTAGATACTATAAAGTAATAATGTTCAAATCACATAATTATATTAGAATTTCTAGTCTTGAATTATTTGTGTCATACCATATATAAGTAAAGATGTTTTTGTTGCAATTTACGAACAACTATTTCAGGCGGCACTCTAAATTGATCTTTATCTTTTTTCAAAAGAAATTGTATTGCGCGTTCCGCATCCGAATCCATTAATTCTTCTATCATATCATATACAGAGTTATAAAGTTGATATTTTTGTATCAAATGAAAGACATCCTTGTGTCTTAGTTTTAAATACATCGCCAACGCTTTATCATATTTCCCATCATGAATGTATAAAATCGCTAATGCTTCCAAAAGAACATTTTGTCGTTGTTTGTGAACTAAAAGATGCTCCAAAACACCGTTAACGACAGCTGCTACCGTGTATAACGTTGGCGACCATTCTTTAACTAATTCGAGAAAACCATCTGGATCCATTTTTAAATATTCGTATAAAACCATTTCGTAAATTAATGGATCTAGACTTACATCACCTCTTGGTAGATAAGAAGAAATAGATCTTAATTGATGAACCATTGCAAATTTATAAACCTATTAAGTCAAATATTTGTAATAATAAACGTGTGACCAAAATTTTGTTATCTTTTAAAATAACCAACCTCTTCTTCCCATAATTTTTTATCCCGGCCTAAAACTTTTAAGCATAATTTTCCAGCCTCGTCGTACTTTTCACGAGCCAATAGATGATCTAAATATACACGACCCACGTCAATTAAAGTATGTCGTTTACATTCTTTTCCGTTACTAGCACTAACAGCTTCTAACGCTTGTTCAAATTTTCCATGACTTATTAACCATTCAACCCTGTCATCGCAATCATACAAACTGGCTACAACTACGTCTTTTGGACTTACAATAAAATACCTAAATATGTAAAAGATTTTTGTTATTTTTATAATAAATAATTAATCAAACTCTTTATAAGATAAACATATAGAATATTTTTCACCTGTTTTCACTAGTCAAACAATCTAAATGATAGTCATTACAACTGTACTCTTTATAGCCTCTTAAAGTCAACGAATTAGCACAAATCACAGAAAAATCTTCGCACTTTGGTTCAACAATGTGCAAAGTAGGTCTTTGACTTTTACCATCTTTATCTAATTCTTTTAAACATCCTAATAATATCAATTGATTGTCTAAAGGGGCGATACCAGATATATAAAAATCCACTTGAAACGTTGAAACTGAAATCGAAATTTTATTATAAGATATATAAATTTAGAAATATTTTTTAATTAAAAAAATGTAAATAATAAACAATTTACCTGGATCAACTACGAATTCGGGTAAATCTCTATTAACCATTTCTTGCATCGATCTCTTTTTTATCTGGCAGATACGCACTATATCCACCCATCCGATCAGTAATGTTCGATCATCTGACCAACGAAGATTACATCTATAGTGTTCTGGTAGCGCTCTATATGAAACATGGCATTGAAAACATTTCTGAAATAATATCTTTATATATAGCTTGTAAATTAATTCATTTAGAATATATTACTTACTCATCTGTTTTAGTCCACTTAATGAGACCTAAAGAACATCTAGCATTTAAATCATAAACTCTAACACCCGTGTCTGATGCCCAAGCGATAAATTGGCCAGCCCATGCTACAGATCTTACTCCACCTATCGCTTCAGATAGAATAGTTGGCTTTATTCTAGATAAAAATGTTTTTTCATATAAAATCAATTTGTCATCTCCTAAAACAAACAAACAAAATATAACATATATCACAACGCTATACACAACGAAATACTTTTATCAACCCCTTGGACTATAAAAACGTGTAAGACTCGTTATACACTTTAAAGTCTAAGCATAAAAAACACTGGTCTTACTCGTGGCAATGAATTTGACAAGGAAAATAGAAAAAGCACCAAATATAACACTGAATAAAACACGTAGCACTGCACGTTCAAATCATAGTATGAGGGGTTAACAGAATAAGTAATCGACAATACCTGTAATAAATTTTCTTCCGCTACCACTTTTATAATAATTAGGATCAATGGCGATACTCTTGACGAGCCTACCAAGATTTAAATTGTGATTATTTTCAGCACTGTACAAACCGTAAATAAATACTTTGCCATCATCGCTGCAAGACGCAATAAAATCACCATTGTGATCTATGGAAATTTGATTGACAGCGACTGTATGTGCTTGGAGACTTTTAGATTGTATGTTATTTCCTTGATGATCCAATAAATGTATCATACCCCAATGAGATCCCAAACAAAGAAACTAAAGTATATATAATGATGAATAGTTAACCTCTTAATCTCAATAAATAATATCTTTTTAGATAATAAATATTAACAAAATAATATTTCTACCTTAGGATGGACAGCTATACAACTGGCGGCATCATTTTGTAAAATATGTTGCAAATCATTTCGCATTCTAACATATTTGAGCCTAGGCTCAACCTCGTCCACCTCAGAATCTGAGTCATCTTGATTGTTCTGATCGGTCTGAAAATTTAATTTGTTAAAAAATATGTCTTATTAATATTTCATTAATTATTCTATTATTATTATTATTCTGTTAAGATTTCTTTCCAAACATATTACTTTAACGTTATTCTCTTCCATAATATATTTCTTTATTTCTATTCTCGAAGAAAACTGCTAACGCGTGCGATGAACTGTCAAACGTTGAGACACGTTTTGATACCATCCAAGCAAGCCCACCTGCTTTTCTGAAATTCCTATTTTGCAGTTAGATATATCTTTCATAAATAGAAAACAAAACGGACGAATATTCAATTTAAATAACATTTCATATTTTAACTATTCACATTTTATTAATTAATAAAAATTATTTAATTTATTAGATATATTGGATCGATATTTTTCCATTCATAATTTTTTTTTCACGACTCAAAACAATTCGAGAATATAATTTAGATTTCTCATAATAATGAAAAAATACAACAAATCAATGCAATTCCAATTTAGATAAAAGTAATTATCTTGCAAGTTTGTTTCTATTCAATTAATTTTCTTTTTTATTAATTTCGATTATAAAATGAATGAATAAATAAATTAATCGATGCTTAGGTTTACTATCGAAAAATCGATTTGACCTAACCTACAATCACTAAGTTTGTTAGTTATTGTTAGATCCTAGTTCCTTAAAATTCGTAGAAGGTTAAGTTTACCAATTGTTTATCTCATTCTTTAGTGGTGTGATTATTAATTATAAATCTTTATAACACATATTTTATTTATTTTATTAGTAATAATATTCGTTATTAAACTAATTGTGTTGATACAAGTAGGGTTCTGATCATAGCATTTATTTATATATTTTTAAGTTCAATATACAAATACATTACATTTATAATAATTTTTCAGGCTTAGAACAATAAATTAAAAAAATATTAAAAAGTTTCTATTTCTGTCTAAAATAATGAACAGAAAAATGTCAGACGGTGTTGATGAATTAGAAATGCCTTCGGTAATTCGATCACCTGATGAAAGAAAAAAAGTTTTATGGAAAACTTTGTCTTGCGCATTGTCTCTTCGTAAGTAATATTGTGATTGATTTTAATTGAATGTTAATATTATCTCATTTTTTTCATTCTTTAGAAGAAAGAAATGAATCCCTGGACATAAATGATCTTAGAACTTTAGAAGAAGTTTTGAAGGAAGGAAATAACGCTGTTCTTGAATCAAGCCTCTATGAAAAAAGTATTATACTTTCATTTATGTGCAATGATGTATCTCATTGAATTAAATATTTCTACTAAAAAAATATAATTTTTATTTTGCAGTGAAGAATCAGAGTGAAATGTTTTTTGATTCTGAAGCAATCAATATATCATCTAAAATTATAACCAAATGTACTAAATCTTTAACACAAAATATCAGTTCATACAATCACATAGATTTTTCAACTAAAATTGTAAGCATTTAATCCCCTTGTATTATGATTTAAAGCATGGACCTACATACTGTATTTGGTGTTTTTTATGTTTGACTTTTAAAATTCACCACAAGTTTTACATATTGTTATAGCACAAAGGAATTTAATTAAATTAGCTAAGTAGATGTATAGTATAAAGGATACAATGATTGATATATTTGTATGTTTCAGTTATACCACATGCTTAAGCTCCCAGATACGTTATTAGAAAATCCAGATTGGTCTGTTTTAGAAACAGAAGTAACTAAATATATTAAAAGAGTACCTGAATATACAACTTTGCTAGGTAATTTTATAAGCTATAATTATAAATTTAGTAATTTATAAGCAAGGGAAATTTATATACTTTTAGGTTCATTAGCACCGTTAGAGAAAAAAGTAATTAATAAAAGAGTGGCTGTTAACAAATCTCAAGCTGTGATGAAATCGCCAGAAAATGTGGTAGTTGTTAACAAGGTCGAGGAAAGTGTAGAGGAGACTGTAGATAAAATAAAAAAATTTATAAAATATTATTACAAAAATAATGAAAAGCCATTGGACTTTTTTTGTTTAATTTTAAATCCAAATGATTTTGGTAAAACGATAGAAAATATGTTATATGTTTCGTTTCTTGTTAGAGATGGTTTCATTAAATTGGTTAAAGGTAATTATATATTTTGAGTTTTGATGAGCGCATAATTAAGTTATTTACTATATTTTGTTATTATAGATGATGCAGGAATACTTGTAATTCAACTTTGTTCCAAAGAAATGATATTACAAAGGAAACAGACTGGTACACATGTGAATATTCAAAATGTCATGTCTATAAATATGGAGCAGTGGAAAGTAATTATTATTATTAATCTAATATAACATACAAATGAAAAGTTATTTTTGAATATATAAAATTGATTTCTTTTTAGGTTCTAAAAGATGTATACAAATTAGAAAGGCCTATGTTAGATTTTAGAACCAAAGTTAATTGTCATACTTAAAACACTTACAAATTTCTACAGTGTTTTTGTAACAAATGTGTTGCATTGTTGTAAATAAATATTTTTATATATTTTTGTATTATATAAAAAAAGATTAAAGAGAAGAAATAAATGGACAAAATATGAGCTGTTTCATAGTTTTGTTTAAAATTATCTTACAAGGGTTTATTATTTTTAAATCGTTTTTATTTATATCTAACATATACCATAAAATTGTATATGTCATCGACAATATGATCACTGCGATGAAGTGTAAATGAGGATATTTTTAAAAAACGAAATTTACATTGGCGCAAATTGTATAAAATTTCTCTGTTTACTTATTACATTCATTAAAGTTTAACAATTTTTTGAATGAAGTTTTATTACATTATATATATATATATATATATTTATGGTATATTTCGATAATTATATTTTATTTCAGAAAGTAAAACTAAACAATGTTTTAAAATATGAACTATCTTCTTTTTTGCAAGAATGTTTATATTGTTAACCACAAATAAAATATTAACGATTAATCGTTTGATGATTTTTCTCATAGACTTATTATGGTACCTTTATGGCGTGACTTTTAACAAATACAATTTATTGTTTCGCTAATGTTTCAGCTTTAGCTACTACTTCTTCGATCGGACCCACCATATAGAATGCAACTTCTGGCAGGTGATCGTATTCTCCAGCTAAAATCTTTTGGAATCCTTTAATAGTTTCTTGCAATGGTACTAACTTGCCAGCATGACCGGTGAATACTTCGGCGACCTATTTAACAATATTTTATTAATGAAATAATTTCTCTTAATACATAAAATAAATAAAAATAAAAAATGAGATAATTCTTACCTGGAAAGGTTGAGATAAGAACCTTTGAATTTTACGGGCTCGTGCAACAGTAAGCTTGTCTTCTTCTGACAACTCATCCATACCTAAAATAGCAATGATATCTTGAAGGGATTTGTAATCCTGTAAAATCTTTTGTACACCACGAGCGATATTATAATGTTCAGTGCCGATAATATTGGGATCCATGATACGAGATGTCGAATCCAACGGATCCACAGCTGGGTAGATACCTATTTACAGATAATTAAAATCATTAGAAATTATCTAGATATAAAATTTGATAAATAAATTGTTAAGAAAAAAGTTATTACCAAGCTCAGCAATAGCACGCGACAGTACAGTGGTCGCGTCTAAATGAGCAAAGGTAGTAGCAGGAGCAGGATCTGTTAAATCATCGGCAGGTACGTAAATAGCTTGTACGGAAGTAATAGATCCCTTTTTGGTTGTAGTAATACGTTCCTGCATGGTACCCATGTCAGTTGCCAAGGTTGGTTGATAACCTACAGCTGATGGAATACGACCTAACAAAGCTGATACCTAAATAAAAATGTAAAAGAAGATACAAAACTTAATAATTTTAACAAGCGTTAGGAAAACATATTGAAGTATTAATTGAATTATATGTTTAAGTTTTATTTAACTAATAGCGTACCTCTGAACCAGCTTGTGTGAACCTAAAAATGTTGTCAATGAACAATAGTACATCTTGTCCTTCTTGATCGCGGAAATATTCAGCAACAGTCAAACCAGTTAAAGCTACACGAGCACGAGCGCCCGGTGGTTCGTTCATTTGACCATATACAAGTGCTACCTTAGAAGTTTTATCCTTTAAGGAAATAACACCGGATTCAATCATTTCATGATATAAATCGTTGCCTTCGCGCGTTCTTTCTCCTACACCAGCAAATACAGAGTAACCACCATGAGCTTTAGCAACGTTGTTAATGAGCTCCATAATAAGCACAGTTTTACCAACCCCAGCACCGCCAAATAGACCTATATTTAAAGAAAAAAACAAAATGATACGTAGCAGCATAAACAGAATTGTAGTATATTCAAGATTATAATTATTATTTGAATCTTACCAATCTTTCCTCCTTTGGCATAAGGAGCAAGTAAATCTACGACTTTAATTCCAGTTACTAAAATTTCTTGTTCTACTGACATTTCTACAAATTCAGGTGCATCTGCGTGAATAGGAGCTAACTTATCGGTACCAATGGGACCACGTTCGTCAATGGGTTCGCCAATTACATTAATAATACGGCCCAGAGTTTCAGCACCAACGGGAATACGAATGGGATAACCAGAATCCAAAACACTCTGACCACGTACCAAACCTTCAGTACCTATAAATATATTACAATAGGACAGTTATATAAAAATAACATTTTAAAAGATTATTTAATATATTTCAACTATAATACACATACCATCCATAGCAATAGTACGAACAGTATTTTCACCAAGATGTTGGGCTACTTCCAGTACTAGCCTGGGGCTTCTGTTTTGTACTTCCAATGCATTAAGAATAGGTGGAAGAGCATCTTCGAATTGTACATCCACGACGGCACCAATGACAGCAACAACTTTGCCTTGAGCACCTTTTGCTGATGCTGCTTTGGCATAGTTTTTCTCTAAAAATAAAATCAATTCGTCTAATATTAGAAACGGAAAGTATTGAATAAATTCTATTTATTATTGATTGTAAAATAACAAATTTATAAATCAAGTCTGATGTTTAAACAATAGAAGTGGACTACATAACACTTATGAAAATGTTGTTACATAATATAAAATATATGAAGTATTTTTTCAGATAAAATGATTTATATAGTTTTTCTTGACTATTACAATCAATGATTAATAATTCGTATTTTATTCTTCTGTAAAGTTTTAAACATGACTAAATTTTAACAAATGAAAAGTACTTTACTTGTCATTAGATCACAATGAAACGAGAGTATGAAATATTTTCGGAGATTTAAAAATGGGATTTAAAAAGTCGCATGTTTCATAATTATTAAATATTTTCGATGTACAATAAATTGAAGAAGTATTACCTTGCAAGAATAATTCGACAGACTATATAATCGCCATATTGGTTACAATAGTATCTTACTGATCCGTTCGAATAATACAATTATATAATCGTTAGGACGGAGAGCACATTTAAAGATATTCGTAAATGACAATTTCAAAAGCGATTTCTTAGATCAAAATTTTCTTCTCCTTTATTCTTTAACGAAAAAAATAGAATAAATATTTAAAACGTATATTTAAAAGGGATAGTTTCTTATGTAGAAAAGTTACGATGGAGACAGTGGAGATAGCGGAAAAAGGGATGTTACACGTTATCGGAATTTTCTATATGGAGTAATGAAGTATTTATAATAAACTACAATCTACTTACTGTCCACTGATACGGTAGCAGCTACTTTAGCAACTTCATTTTGAAAAAGGGTGGGTTTGACGGCCCTTAAAGCCCCAGCGGCTGCCCTCGATACGGCGCTTAACATCATGGCCGGTCAAGTGAGGAAAGACTACCAAAGTATTCTTCCCTACTGCAGTCCACATCCCCTGACTATATTGCGCATACGCAACTTGTTACAATTCTATTGCGCATATCGATTGCGCACGCTTGTATTCATTAATGTGATCATGTAATATTTTAGCGATAATTTCCCTTTATTTCTTTTTCTTTCTTTTCAATTGACATGATAATAATTTCATTCAAGTAAAAATAAATTCTTTCCCCTATTTTTTATCTTTAATATGAAAATAATGCAATTCTCGAATGTCGTAATATAATTATTTTTACTGAGTGTTGCAATCGATCGAAAATGATTGTGGTTTTACACCTAAATGTTCATTCATTTGCGTTTTCTTGAAAACTAACTTTAAAATTAGTTAAATTTTAATTGTTACGAGTAAAAGATGTCTTTTTTTCATAAAATGTTATTTTAATATTGCAAGTGTTTATTAATAATAATATAAAATATATATGTGTCGTAAGAGCTAACAGTATTTTCCTTGTTTACAATTTGACTAGGGATATTTTTGTCTTCATTTATTTTACCAGTAAAATTTAATTTTCTGAAGTTTCCTACGCTGAAGTCTTACAGAAAAGTTCTTTAACGACATGTGAGAATAATAATATTTTTCAGTATAGCTTGATATTGTTATGGGGACCTTACATATATAAAAACAAGATATTCTTAATTAACTATTTATAATGAATGATAAATCAGTTATTAAGAATCCTTCATGCAGTTCTGCATTTAAATCTAGTTGGTCTAAAAATGATAAATTTTTATTATTAAAAAGTCTTAAACTTTATGGGCATAAAAATGTAGCTGCTATATCTACATTTCTCACTAATAAATCTCAAGATGATATTAAGGATACGATAAATTGTTTAAAAATTAAATCTAAGGTCGTAAATAAAAAAAAATCTTTAATAAATGATTGGATAGAAAGTAAACTAATTAAAAAGAAAAATAAAATGATCCGGCAAGCATTACTTTTTATATCTCTTTTCGAAAAAAATTCTTTTGACAACAAGATAAGTGACTATAGGTAATTTTATATATAACAATTAATTATTTTTTAGTATTCTATCTGTAAAAACAGTTATATTCTTTTCTTCTTTTCAGAGAAATTTATCGTTATCTTTATAAGTTGTCCTGTGGCATGAAAAACACCAATCTTTCAGAATTGAATCAAGATATACTATACAAAACTTTGACAGAAATTGACTATAAAATTACAACTAAACCTCAAAAAGAAGAAATTATGTTACATATAGAAAAACTTCGTAACAAAAATATAAAAACTTATCCTGGCAAGTAAGTAGTTTTTTTTACATCAATATATTATAATTTTATATATTTCTGTTGAAATTTGTATTAAATTTATTCAATTACTTTCATTATTTTACAGAAAAGCTGCTAATAAATAAATAATGTTGAAAAATATCCTGAATTTGTAAATATTTATTTTTAATGTAATTTTATTCTAATTAAATCATGTTAATATGTTTACTATCATTGCCATATATTTTTAATGCATCGATTTCCATTAAGGGTTCAGCGTTACACATTTGTAACCATCACTGGAATCTTTTTTTTGTAGTGTGGTAGCAATTACATTAATTTATATTAACGCTTTCTTAACTTATAATAAAATAAATTATTGTTAATAACAGTAATGTTATAATATATATTTTATAACTGTTATAAACATTTTTATAGAACTATATTATTTTACTTCCATTGCTGCTGTATAATTTCTTTCTTTTATAGATTACATATGTGATTCATTTGGCAATTGCAATAAAACAACCTCGCTAATTAATTATTGCGTATCTATTATGATAAAATATTGTTAAAATTAATTATACGTAGCAGATACATTTACTGGAAAATGAGTATATATGTATATATACGTGTGCATATGCGGCAAGTTATACTTTACACATTTATAAAGATGTGAATTTATAAGAGAATAAATTATATTTTATATTTAATACTAGTCCTAATGCTTTTTATAATAAATGCAAGAAATAATTAAATACTACTAATTTTGGTAAAATAATTTTTACAAGATAATACAATTAGCTTTCTTTTCATTTTTAGTTTTGAATTTCACCTTGTGAAATTATTTGTAGATTCATAATTCCATTAATCTGCATAGAAGATAGAAATAAATGACACTTTCAAAGTGCTATTAACTTCCTATTTTTAACTTCCTGAAGGGAAGTTTACATTCATTGATGTATCGTTTGATTGTTCTGATTCATCGCCCCAATTCCAGTTAGAATTATCTAAACTTGGATAAGTAGTAGGACTCCTAAAACAGATTTAATTTTTTTTTTATTATTCTATATATGTATATAAATTTATTTAAATGATGTATTAAATAATATATTTACTTTGCGCTAGGGCTAGTTATTAAAGATGATTTTTCATTAGAACTTGATTGTTTGTCCATATTATTTTGGTAAGCATTTGGTGAGTTTTGATAGTGTTCTCCGATGCTATATTGACTTTGTTCTGCTGTATTCATACCACCGATATCGCCCCAACCTTTCCTTCCCAAATCTCCCACCTAATAATTATTTTCATTTATTTGTTGAACTTAGTAAAATAATAATAATGAAATATTTAATGAAATATTAACCTTGGACGCTGCAAGTTCTCCAATTTTAATGGCATTCTCAGTAGCTTTAGACGCTATTTTGGACGCATTAGAAGAAAATAATTGCCAACCCTACAAAGACAGCTTTTTGAATACTTATGAAAATTTAATAAGTAATATGTAAAGATACATATGTTGAAATTAACTTTAATGATATAAAATTATCTCACACTGCTTAAAGATGATACAGCATTGTCAAAGAATTCTTGAGACATACTCTTAGGAGGCGCTTCCATTTGAAAACCAAATCCGCTGTATTTACCTCCTTGATTGGGCGGTATATTTCTATAAAATAAATAAAATAAGAACAAAATTTCAACAAAAAAGTAAGAATTACTTACTCTGGACGATTAGCATTTTCGCTTTGTCTTCTAGCAAAAAAAGATTCAGTTTGAGCTTTAATGGCAGGGGAATTAGCGTTCTGATAACTGGCAGTTATATCGTTTTGATAAGCAGATTGATCTTGTTGTTCCGATTGTTGTTGGGATTGAAATACAGTTACTTTGGATTCAGTAGGACTCCAAGAATTTCCTTGCGCCAATGTAGCAATCTATAAGTAAAACAAATTAATTAAAATATAATTAACCCTTCCAATGGTGAATATTCTTAACTAAAATGCTTTGCAGGGATAGAATACATTATTGCTAGCGCTAGTTCCATTGATTAATTATACCAGGCATAGCTAATAACAAATTATAATCATTTCCTCCCAAATAAAATAATGCTAAAAAGTTTCTTTCCAGCATAATTCAGGTGCGACAAAACTTGAAACTATAATTAACACTCACAAACTGACATTACTTCTTCGCATTCATATCGACAAATGCATATATGCGTTTATAGTCTACGCTGACAACTTATATTAAATGCATATAAGCATCCATAGCATTCAAAAGATTATTAATAATAATATAGAATGTAAACGTTATTATTGACCTTATCCCTGTACAATGCAGCTGCTTTGGTATTATATTTTTGAGAAATGGGCATAGAGTTATCCCAATCAGGTTGGGCTTCGAAGAACTCTCGTGCTAGTTTATTACCGCCAACTTTCATTTTTTCTAATTCTATTTCTTTCCATTTGTCCATAGAAATGGATCGTACGAATGATAAATGAACTCCAAGTCCTCTGTGCTTTCCTGAACATTCAAGGCATATCCAGATGCCATATGTAACTGAAGCCCATTGTGGATTATGTGTACCACACTCGAAACACCTCTAAAGAATAAAATGATAGTAGACAATCGTAATTCATTTCAATAAAATTTCAATTGGTAATTAATGTCTTACGTTATTTTCATTTTTAACTTTAAGTTGATTTAAAATTTGCCGAGTACGTGGACTAGCCATAATGTCAATATTAGTCAATATATGTATCACAAATTAAATGCATTGCCAACGATACATACTCTAAACACACATATATATATAAGCAACAATGTCCGCGCAGTAGAGATAAATATATCGATAGTAATATCGATATATATAAATTCAATCGAAATATCGAAATATCGATATGCAACTGAACGTCTGAAATATGCAACAACACTGCCTCCTACAGCGTGTTTACCACGTAGGTTGCCTATCTGCAGGAGGATTGTAAATATACTTGTAATAATAGTAAATTTACCAAACTAACTTATTTTGATTTCTGTAAATTTTTAATTTAATTAAATGATTATATATTTCGATATTTTTAAATAACTTTCTAATATACGAAAGTATTTTATTAATATAATTAAATTTATTAATATTTTATTAAATTTCTCGTGATATGAAAGAATATAATATTTGTATGCGTCTCTAATATTTTATTGCTATAATTTACTTTATTAATATATTATTGATAATCTTCACCTTTTAATCTTGAATCGATAAAACGATATTTTCATAAGATTACCAACACGATACCTTCTCACTACATATACAATTTTATTCTAATTCTTCTAACAAAAAGAAACGAAAGTAATACAAAATGAATTACCTGCGACATTCATTGTTATAGCATTGAATCGAAAATGTTTTCTTTAATCGTATTTGTATCTTAATTTTTAAACAATTCTATGAACATTTACGTTTAAACTATAGAATAATTAAATTTACAAAAGAAAAGGAAGGGGATAAGGGAATAAAGGTAAAAGTGTAACGAAATGGAAGGAGAAGGTTTTGGTTTGGTTGGAAAGTGAGGAATGAATGGATGGTAGTCGATGAGTAAAGTAGTCGGTAGTGGAGAGGGGGGAAAGCGCGTGAAAGAGGGATAAAAAGGACAAAAGGAGAAAGAGAGGGTGAACAAAGACAAAAGAAGTTCATTACGAAGTTCAGTAGTAGTAAGGCGTAGAGTACTGCAGCAGTTTTGTTCATATGATGACGAAGGGCTGAAAGGGACGTCGTGAAACGCTTCTAAATATGCTCACATATACACATACGAATGGGGTCCATATGAAATCGAATGAGTCAAGAAACCGATGATTTTTTCTCAACTCTTAGTTTTTTCACAAATATTAATAATTATTCTCACTTTTTTCAAAATTATATTACTGCGTCTTAGAATGCATCGTCGTTTTTGAAATCATTTAAATTAATTTTGAATAATATGAATTAAAGTTTATCGCGTTTGCGAACTGACTTCTTTCTTTCTTTTTTTTTAATCATTTGGAAATTGTCTTTTTTTATATCTCCCCCGTACATTTGATCATTCTCGTTTCGATCCTCCTCCCTCGTCGTCTTATTTGGGAGAATCTCTGCTCTCGACCACGTTTCGTTTCACGCGGGGACATCTTGTCCGGGTAGTAGAATAAAAGGGGCAGTGGAGCTAGGATTCGAGGGGTACGTTCGATGGATGGGGAGCACAAGGACGGACGGGGTGCAGGAGGTTGAGAGGTTAGACGAAGAGAGAGAGAGAGAGAGAGGGAGAAAGGAATGGGGAACATTGTCGAAAAAAAGAATAGTATACTGCTTCATCGTAGGCACGTTCACTGTGCGCGCATAACTTGCTAGAGGGGGTCGAAAACGCGCGGACCCCGGGGCTTTGCAGAATGAGAAGAGAAGAGAAGAGGAAATGAGAGTAGAGAAAGAAAGAAAGAAAGAAAGAAAGAAAGAAAGAAAGAGACAGAGAGAGGAGAAAAGAAGAGAAAAGATGAGAAGAAAGCGTAGAGAAGAGCGAAGAGGAGAAGGGAACGGATGAGGACGTGTGGTATACACCAAAAGACGTAATACGTACGTGTGTGTTTCGTGTGTGTATTCGAATGCCGAACGTGGCGTACCAACGAAACAAAATCGATATGCATGATTCACGCACGCGAGGAGTCACTGGAAGGGGGTGGAGAGTTTGGTAGGGTTCTTACGTGGGGAGAAGGGGAAGCTCTAGATAGATAGAGGGGGAGAGAAAACAAATGTGTGCGTGGATGAATGCGTGGTTGGTTAGTTGGTTGGTTGATTGGTTGGATGCGTGCGTACGTGCGTGCGAGCGTGCGAGCGCATTTTTTTTACGCGTGTAGTATATTATGGAAAAGAAAGAAGGGAGGGGGAAAGAAGGGTAGGATGTAGGGTGCAAAGAGAGAGAAAGAGAAGGAACTAGAGAGTCTCTTTTCCCTCATCCTCTGTGCGTTTGTACAGGAAGGGTGAATGGTGGGGATGGAATAAGCGCGCTCGCCTCGAACCGTAATTCTATACAGAGAGAAGAGAAACACACAAGGATACGAAGAGGGGTATTCCTACGATGCTACCCCCTCGGTCACTCGATCAGTCGTGTCCGAAGTCCCACAGCGTTATAAGCTCGACGCTACAGAAACCTCTCTTCTTTCCTTTTCATCGTTCAATCGGAAGCGTCAGGACGCGCGCGAGCTAAGGATACGAACCAAACACGCAAATAACCCCGCGCGCGCCAACGCCTCCTGCGAATTCGAATATATCAGACGAGTAGACGCGCGCATCCGCGAACGATTACGAAAATTCCGAGTTTACCCTTAATAATTTATTATCAACTGTGATTATCTATATCTACGATCTAATCCCAATTGGAATATTCCCTCAACCGAAGAAACTCTTAAGGATATAAATATTATATATTATATATATTCATATCTTATTTATATTGGATTATTTATATTGGAAACACGTCTTCTAATTATTTATTTTCTAATAGAATTAGAATATAATAGAATTCAGTTTGAATTCGTCACACACATCGACGATGAGAAACGTTTGGGTTCATGACGCGAACGAGGAAACGAGAAAGCTACGATACAGTCGAGCATTTTCGTCTAACAGGAGGAAAAATCGATCGTTCGAAAAGGCACGTGTCGTCTCTTGTAACAAATCGATTCGCATCTGGCAGAGACCCTCTTCTGAATACGACGCATTAAAGTTCGGGAGCTTCTTCGCGTTACCGAGTACTTTAGGGATTTCGATGCGAGGCGAGCAGCAACGTGCGCCGCCTTCATTTCTTTTTGCGATCCCCATTCAACGGCTAGATATCGTTCCTTTCCTTAAATACTATTTCTATTATCGATCAATCTAGACAATTATTTTTTTTTTCTAAACTTATCGTTTAAAATCATTATAAAATAAACAATATTTTTACTTAACTTTCCTAACACTTTTTTTTCTTTTCTGTTGCGATTTCATCTCATATTTTTCGTGCTCTTTTCTTTTTTGATATCCCAAATTTTTTCGATTAATTTGCACTAACATCGCGACGACGCGTAATGCAAGATAATAAAATGAGAAAACGATGCCAAGTTGCGGTCGGCTGGGTCGGTCTGACTCCGAAACAAGATACGCCTGAGACTTAAAACACGAACAAACGGTAATATCGGTGCCTCTAACGTAAGTAATAATAGTTTGATGCTGATCGTTGAGCTTCTGCTCGAATAATAACACTCGGGGAAGCATACGTTTACTTTTAATCTACGCGAAGACGTAATATATTTCGGAAGAAGGAAAGAAGGAAGGAAGGAAGATAATATCTTCAAATGTGAACTTTCATATTTTCATTTTTTTTGAGGGGGAGAAACGGATACGCGAAACGTCCTTGTGTTCGAGCGTCATCGAGAGGAATTGTTTTCATTTTGTAATGAGAAAAAAAAGAAAAATAGTTTAAATCTAACGTTCTCTAATTACCGTGTAAGTTTCTTCGCAGAAGCAGTGAAAAAGAGTCGATGGAAAAGCGGGAAGGAAAGGAGAAACGCAATAACAGGTGGTTTCGCTTTGCGCATCTCATCGTACATACGCATATATATGTGTATATCAATACATATCTGTGTATGTATATATATATATATATATATATATATATATACAGGCGATGTCGCAAAAGAGACAAATTAGTATTGTAAGTGTGAAACATACGAAACGACGCAAAGTTCGCTCATCCTTGCGCGGTGTTTTTAAAAAGAGCATTCATACTTATTATATTTCTGCTTCTTTTTTCACCTTCCTAAAGGTAATAATGTGTCATCGATGGGATTAAATCGAGCATCGGCAGATTTTTTTTTCTTTATTTTTTTTATATTTTTTTTATTGCGGCAAACGGAATTTGCACCTAGTGTAAAGAAAAGGAAAAGAAAGATAAAAGAAACGCAAAAAAGGAAAATAAAAAGAGAGCAGAGACATATCTAGTGTCCTGCTACATTATTACGCTTCAGGGCGTTCGTGTCCAAGGGGGACGCGGAGGAGAACAGAAATGGCAGAACGAGGAGACGCGTATAGGGGGCGGGGTAGGTGTAGACTTACTTTGGACTCTGGTGTGGGATTACCGTACTTATATTCAAGTCTAATATTAAGTTACCATTTTGCTTTACGGCAAGTGAACAGGCTGCCTGCATATAGGAAGCCATCCGAGCGCTCCTGAGACAGTCTGGCTCGTTAGTTTGGGCCCACCGACGATACACGTAAATCTCAAGTACCTCTCTTTCCGTCGTTCTTCTTCCGTTCATCCGGCTATATCTCTTCGTGAAAAAAGCTCCAAAAACAAAAAAGACGAAAATAGTAAAGGAACAACAACAACAAAGATTATTTCGATTCTCTGATATCCCCCAATAACGTCCTTCGTATTTTTTTCTCGCGGTTGTATCATCCTCTTCCTTTGATTCCAAATAACGAATATAATGCACCCCACTGGACTATGGTACGTACTCAAGTAGTGAAGACTCATTTGTCGATCGTTTAACGTGGTTTATGCATGCATGTAGCAAACTGAAACGGGAATTAAAATTAGATGAAAATCATTGGTATATATCGATCCAAGCAAGATCACGGTTTGTACCAAACTGCGACTTGCTTCTCTTCCTCGATATGTAATATTATTATTTGAGTTGCTTGTCATATACTTGTCTTCGATTCTCTACGCGTTGTTTTCTTTTTTTTTCTTTTTTTTCGAGGATTCGATTAAGTTTATCGATCGCTTAGATGACCTTTAATCTTTTCGGTATGAATTTGTAAGGTTGCAATGTGGACGATGTTAGAATCGGGTTTATCTCAATTCCGATCTTCTTTGATGTTAATGTGTTTTTTTTTAATATTCGAATTATTTTTAATTTTGCTTTTTAATTTAATCGAGAATAAAATAATTACGAATAAATCTATTGATACACGTTTGCTCGTACAAAGTAACATTTTAAAATATTGTACATATGATTTTATTTGAAAAGCAACAAACGTGAATACACGACGGGATTCGATGTACATTGCTTTGATAGCGTTTTATAGTCATTTTATTAAATAGTTAGCGTTAATACACATGTAAATACACAGAAGCTACTCAAATAAATATTTGTTTGTTTGTTCGTTTATTTATTTTTGTGTAACTCGACGAAAAGATGGGGGTCATTAATGAAACGTGTGTCGTCTCGTTAAAAATTACTAGTTGTTATTTCTATATATGCAAACACTGTCTTTATGAGGAAGATTATAACGTCGCAAATGATTAAAAATAAAAAAGGTATAAGCACTGACTTCTATGTGTGCTGGGGTTTCAATTCTACTTCCTAGCACCATTTGAAATCAGTACTTTTCCTTTTAAATAGTCTACACTTTCAACGTTCTTCTAAAATATCGACGAGGTTCGTAAGAATCGCGAAAAAACGTACAACCTTCAACATTTATTTCATTAAAAAAAAAGCATCGTTTTGTATTGTGATAGTGATTGTAGTGTTTAAACAAATGTCTACTAGGTTATTAAAAAAATCATTTCTTTGTATATTCTAGATTGCATTTAAAACGACGGATAAAACGTAGAGTATTTTGTACGTTTAATTGTGCAGTGCTCTTTCTGTATGCTACGAGGATAAGTTGAACAATTTTTGAGTCTTACCGAGAAAACAAACTTTTACTTAAGAAAAAAAAAGAAGCAAGTTTGACTGAAGAAAAAAATGGTTTCTGTGTTAGGCTCAAAATTTTTCAACACATACATGTATTTTCTTTTTCTCGTTAAGAAAAATTTAATTGTATACTTGTGTGTTTGTTAATGTGTATGCACGTGTTCTTAACTATCTCTCTGTGCGTGTATATGCATCTATACACATATATATATATATAT